TTCAAAGCCTCAGCGGCAGGTGTCGCTGGAGTTTCCTCATTCTTCTTCTTCTCCTTCTTTTCGCCCATTTCGCCCAAATTCCCTGTAAAGGAGATAGGAACAGCTTGAACGCGCGAAAGTACATACGAACTAAACTCGCCCTGCAAAAGTAGTTGTACAAAGACAGAAGCAGGATAGGCAGTGGGACGGACGCAGTGAGACTGGCTACCTGCGCGCCACTAAGACTTCGTTCAGACTTCGCAACCGCGCGACCACTACCGGAAGCGCACCATCACAAAGCGGTGCGCCACCGCAATGGCACATTCCAATGACACCGTGTGAACGTGCCCAGTTTCAGTTCTGCCGTAGCGGGAGCGCAGTGCTTTCGACCGTGGAGTGACCCCTATTGTGGTCGCGCGATCCACTCGAGCGATCGCCAAGTCCAACGCGGCCTAGATGAGCCCATAGGGAAGGATTCGCTACCTAGGTGATAGGGTACAGACGAGCAGAAAACGCTAAGCCGACGTGTCATCCCCCTCAACATCCGTCTCAGGGCAACCGGGAAGCCTCTCCTCTCTTTCATTTTTTCTTCCTCCTTCCTTCTTTTCCTTCCTTCCTTCTCTGATCCCTCCTCCTTTACCTTCTCCCTCAACTACTGGACTGGTAGATGCCTCGTGAAAATACCCCTGGACCCTCGCAGCGAGAGCACGTCTGGTTGACAACAGCCCCGTAACCCTCAACATCCTCACTGTCGCCACTATAAACACATCTTCGTATCACGCTCCCTTCATGCTCAACATGGTTCGCAGTTCCAATTCTATGCGGGTTATTTCCTCATTATTGGTGTGAGTTATAACGCGATGGGCAACACTTAAACTGACGGCTTTTTGGATTACGGTAACGGTTCGGTTACGAATTTACCATTTTGTCACATTACATACCAAAAAGTAATCTCCAAATATGAGCAACAACTCAGATATTTCTAATTGGAGATTTCCCTCGTAATAACCGGATTTTTAGAAAACAGGTAGAGGAATAGTTTATTTGCAAAATGTCCACAACAATCGACAATGAACACATATTCAACAAGACAGAAACAAACGCACAAATGAGACCAAGAATCCAAGGAAACTGTCAGTAATGAACGAACATTGGCGGAGGTGGCATTGGAGCGTTCATCACTGGGGGAGGCGCTTGTGGAACATCATTTTCAGGCACACGAGAATCAATTCTGAACGCGACCTGGAATTCAGCGTATACAAATTCCATTTTTTTTTGTTCCCTGTGTTCTTCATGTTATGTACAATTCAGCTACAACAATGATGGGGCAGATTGGAAGAAACCCTTCTGTTACCTGTAAGAAGAACTGCTTCGTATCCTTATTCCACATTGTCCAAAATTTCTCAGACTTGTCGACCTTCTCTAAAACAAGTATTGGAGGTCAACACCGATAAACATTAAAGAACAAGAAGAAAGATAAGTGAAAACTTTCTAACCTGGATGGAATTTTGAATCCTATAGTCTCATAAGGCTCAGCAGCAAAGAGCAAGTATTGCCACCTGAAAAAAGTCATTTTCACAACGAGCAATACATCTGCCCGGAAAAACTCACCTCTTGTCTGGCGGCTGGATCTTTTGCTCGTAGGCAGACATAAAACGATGTCTAGGTTGAATACCTTCCAGCGATTTCAGGGTAATCAATTTGGAAACAGAAGAGCTTGTTGGCCTGTGGCTGGGTCACGCTCACGAGTTACCTGCAACTCTCATTTTTTGATAAACAACTTCCGAACCTCCGGTATCGCAAATCTATCCCCCCCTCCTTTCCGCCCCACCGTCACCTACATTCAATCGTTAGAAATTTTTAAAACTCAAGAAAGCTACCGGACTACCAAACTAACCTTGTAACCAGGTCGACCAATCTTTACAAACTTTCGTAGTTCGATTTTTGGTTGTGCAGGAGCAGGTAGGAACGGCTGTTCCTGCGCCTCTTTAGCTGCTCTCCTTGCCAGATTTGACTGATGTTTTTGCCTTTGTAGTGTGGCGAGTACAGCGAACCCTGAAGATTAGCGATCAAGCGAAAACGACATAGCCGCCGAATTTATAGCCACAAACTGCAACCGAATATAAATAATTGCGGGTCAAAAGTAAGGGGATGCAGGCGATATCACAGCCGTCCTTCTGTGTCATCCTACTGACGCAGTGAATTCCTTTCCTACCTCTCTCCTAAACGTTGTTGCCGAAACGGACTGGGGAAAAACAAGGCTTTTTGAAAAACTTCAGAAGGACATTTCTATACGTGAGCGACGGTCATGATAGACGGGATCTAGAAAAACTAAAGCCGTGTTGGAAACCCAAATGTCCATGGTGTAACAAGTTGAAAAATGACCTTAAATGAATGTTTATCGACTATCTTGACATAAACTTCATTACCTCTCATTATTGTGAAAGTGTTAAAACACCAGTTTCACACTATAAAAGTGCCCAGATTGATTTCGCCATAAAATATGGATCCTTTCTGTAAATCGATTGTTTCCAACGCCAACTGCCTGAAAATGAGAGTTAGTCCTCATAGGCCGAATGAACGGGAGATATCTGACAACCCCCAGAGAATAACTTGAGAACAAAAACGAATAAAACAAACGACAAGTACGATCAAAAGAGGTGAGGTGAGATGACTAACCTTAGCCGTTCCCTTCGATCCACTCCAGCATCTTGAGCAGATGCAACACCACCACCTCCGGTTTTTCCTCCAGCTCTATTCTGGAAATCCATCTAAACAAAAGTTAGCATTTCCATGGCTAGCAGGCGGACCTACTTTTATGAGCTGAACACGATCCGTGACGTCACAGAATCTTCTAGCGGAGGGAGGGTGCGGTCGCGTCCTTGATAACGTCACGGAAGAGGGGCAGAGATAGTACTGCCCCTTGTGGAAAAAAGTTTTGTTTCGTTGACTTTTCTCGCTTTTTTTTTTGCTTATATGCTGCGCTACCTGAACCTTACTCCCCACCGCCTTTGTCGAAGGCAGCTTCTATGGAACAAATGAGGCATTCCGGTAGAGAAACGGGAAAGCGCGTGGTAGAAAATCTTAGGAGGAGGATGGTACGTAGGATGGTTAATGGAAAGGGTCTCGTACCAAAGGAGGAAATTTTGGGAGGTCGTACTGATAGCCATGTCAATACCCAGGTTTATGACAGGGGGCGACATGGGAATGGAAAAAGTAAGTCTGGTGAACCGGAGGAGGCGTGAGTCACGAACAACTTGAACATTAATCCCTCTGACACGCGCCGATCTGTTCTGTTTTCCTCTGCACCATTCTCGTCCGTGCAGAGCGGGGACATCGCGGGAGTGACAGAGTGTTCCCCAACGGCAGGACGTGCCCTGGATGTAGGCAATAAGTAAGGTATAAAATGTGATAACATGTTGTCACGTCAGAAACAGAAAAAAAAAATTAGAAAAATCATTGTTCAATGCAAAAAATATCACTTCAAACAACAACCTTACAAAGTAATGCAACGCAGTGACCACAAAGTTTTGTTGAATCAATCGAATAACTGTGGCACTAAAAAATAATAATAAAAGACAAAGTAACGAAGGCCATGTCGAGATCTACAACGAAGACAGTGTATGATACAAGTAATCGCACCTATTGAAAGCAAAATCATTTTGACGCACAAACGAAAAAGAAATCGATATTAACACATGTGCTAGTGAATAAGCACAAGTAGTTAAAGATCTAGAAAATGAGTAAATTTGGACTTACACGTTTTCCATGAACAAGCTCAACGGGATGTGGAAAATCCCGGCTAGATGTGACCAAATTACAGCAACATACGTTACTATACAAAAAAAAATAAGAGCACAAACATATTTGCACCAACAACTTTGTGTGAAAGACACTTCGGCAGTGGGCAATACACGTTATTCGGAAATCACAACTCTTCCGGAAGTCGCTCCCCATGAAGTGACAGTGGATATTAGCTTGGACGGCAGTTTTGAACGATCCCATTTATCTCTTAAATAGACGCAATTACAAACCTATACGCATCTGCTAAAGAAAGTCGTGGTATCACAAAGCACATCCTCTACTCGGAAGGCGCGTCAATGAGCTAATGAGGTGATATCATATGCTACTTGAGCCTCCGGTTGCCATTTGATACAATACAAACACGCAATACGTCGCACGGCCAGACGCGCAACACGCTACACGCTACACGACCTGCCACGATCCTAACCATGGCTGCAATGCTGTTTGTCTGCTCTCTTTCACGTGCGGCTGACGCTGCTGTGTCACGCATATTGTACACCAAATGGCGGGAGACATAAGAAATGTGGTTCTCAGTAGTTTTGAAGAGGTACTGAGAGGAGTTTTTTTTCTTGCAAAACTGGGATCAATGTCATCAGAATACAACTATTACGCTTAAAATTGACTTCCTCACCGACTTTCTCACCCCGAGCTCTTCCCCCTTTAGGGTTGAGCAAATATCCTTATTTACAACATAGATAGTCTAATCGCAAGAATTGGTTATGAACCCTAGAATGTTGAAGAAAAAAGCCTTTAGGCCGCGTTCACAGCTTGCGACGTAAAGAAATGCAGAAATGTGAAATCTGCGGAAATGACGGAAAGCATTAAATACATATCGATTTGAAGAAATGCAGAAATGCGGAATCTGCAGAAATGCAGAAATGACGAATTGCGGAAAATTGATACATATCTAATACTTTTCGTCATTTCCGCGGATTTCCACTTCTGCAGACTCCGCTCCACATTTCTGCAGACTATGCATTTTTGTATTTCTTCATTTCTGCATTTCTTCACTGTCGCTGCAGCTTCGAATGGCGGAAATGCGACACATGGATCTGCACATGACACAATATTTCCTTGATGGCCGTGAAATGTGCGTTTAGGTAAGTTAGTACACAGAAAAGGGAATCGAATAGAAAGAACGTACGCCCCTTCTTTCTGATGACTTTCTCTACATTACACAAGCTAACAAAAAAGTAGCTCAAAGCGAACGGAAATAAACCCTAGAGAATCGGGGTAGAAATGTAAAAATGAGAAACGCACCGATATTCTTCAATATCATGGGAAATCACGGCAGCCAGTCGCTCCAATTCGGTCACGGACCATCCATTCGTACGTTCTACACACTGAAAAAAAGAGTACTTCAGAGATGAAGGATGGACAAGCCGTGTATACCGCAAAAAAATTGGAAAAATATAAGAGAACAATCATCGCACATGAAAGTGATTCATAGAACATCTGAAATCCCAGGGCGGGTTCACACTTCGCGATCCGACCGCTTGCACCGCACCATCGAACGGCTCAAGTGATTGGATCGCGCGAGCATGACAACGGGGCGCTCCAGCGCCATGGGCCGCCGCAACGGCAACATTCACATAGGCGGCGCTCGTACAATGCAGAAGCGCTCGCATCGCGAAGTATAGACGCACTCTTGCGAACCCATGAGGTAGCGCTCATACTTTGCGAATGTGAAGAATACGTGACTTGGGGATCGATGACTCGGAAGAAGGCGCTAGAAGGAAAATGTATGATTCCCGCGAGATTTGGTAAAAGGCCCCAGTCAAATCCTGTCTAGCCGCAATCGTTATTTTTAGTGAATCAGAAAATGCTGACTTTCGACTCGTCAAAGTACTCGAATCGCGGATCCTCCAAGTTACGAAAGTATGAGCGCGACCTCAAACGCATGACAACAGATCTCTCAGGGCGCAGTTCGGCAATGGGTGGGGACATTTCGCACTCTGCCCAAATGTGAAGTAGCAAAGAAGCGGTTCCCCCCCCCGGCCTTCAAACTGCGCATGTTTCAGCTGCGAAGAACAAATGACCGCACCTTATTGACAACTTCACTTAGTCGAGCCTCCGAAAGAACCAGAGACCTCTTGCCCGGCGATTCAGGTTTCTTCTTCTCTTCAACAACTATCTCCATTGGAACACCATTTTCAACTAACTCTTCGTCTGAACCCCCTTGAGAAGTCTGTTCCTCGGAGCTTTCATCGACACTGCTGAAATACTTGGCGATTGGATGGAAACCTACCAATAATCCATCTAATGGAAGTTACGAAGATAGACACGAACTTAGACAATGACTGTTTGAGAGACTTCACAATTGCAGCTGTCTTCTTCTTCTTTGCTGAATTGGGGAAAGCATAACCACCCTTTCTTCTGTTCCGGAATCTCACCCTTTGCATTCCACCAGCAAGAGTCCTGGGCGGTGCCTAAATGCAAGTTCACACTTTAGGAAAGCAATATCAGCAACATTGAATCCTTTTGTAAAAAAAAAACTCTGATTACTACTTCGATAATTTTTTGAAAGCACTCACGATTGGTTTTTCACTTTTCTTTTCCTCAACGCCTTCCTTCGCCACCTGCGTCACATATCCCGCATTAACACTCCACGGAACAGTTCTTTTGAAGCCAGGTGGTAATTCTAACAGCTTTTCGTTTGTTGGCTCAACACCTGCATCAGCCAGCATCTTAGCATTATTCTGAAATGGAAAACTTACTGAGGCGGATCACTAACAGTATACCCTACTTTTTTGCGCGGGGGGGGGGTACGGAAGACGCAGGCGACGGCGCGCTCGAATGCTTTGTTGAATCGGAGTTGAAAAGAGTAGGAAAATATTGATTGATGCTAAATTTCTGGAGCTGCGACCGTCACTTCGAAGTATGGGACGTAGACTGTCACTACACAACCGATTTGACGCTAAAGACATGAGAAGATGGTTAAGACAATCGTAATCTGTCGTCGTGCGCGGTACATCGTGCGGCGATGTGCGGCAAGTTCTTAATGCGCATCAGATTGTTGATTGGGACAGCGAGATTCATAAGAATTCAAGTGGAAGCAACACTCTGTGCTGAATTCAAGTGGAAGCAACACTCTATGCTGCTTGATACAATTTTTCCCCATTCTCTTAACACTGTTGTTTAAGCAGCCAGTCAGGACAACTCGTCCAGTAGATGCAGTATTGCTCGCCACGCCCATCAGCGCAGCATAGTACAATGGTCTTGTCCTATACCCTCTGAACGCTAACGTTAGCTAATTATGAACGATGCAGTACTTCGTAAATCCCAGGTTACAGTTCCTCCTAACCCCTCGTATTCGCGCACAGCGAACGGCGCAGACTAGACTTAACTTCAGGATAATAATGAACCCTACAACAGACCTCAAGCGACTCTACGAAATCCACATCCAAGTCAACATCGAACAAATCAACAACAGTTTCCCAGAGAGCATGCGCATTGTGCCTGATGATCCGACCTGAAATTAACTGGCATAAATATCGTGAACTGCAGTGGATTTCAGAACAAAAATGACCAACCCTCTTCAGTAGTCGCTGGATTGTACTCAATAGCATTGTCTCGTATCAAACGAATATCACTCAAAAGATGATCGGGATGGAGATATTCCTGCCTATAAAAGTAAAACTGAGGGGGCACTACGCGGAAAAGAAATGTGATCTACACCGTGGTAGGGGGAGGGAAGGGGGAGGGGCTAGGAAAAGAATGAAAAAGAGTAAAAGACAGAGTAACAGCTAAAAGTAGCTGAAAAGTTCAACGTGAACGCCGTTAAGAAATTCCGAGGCAGCGTTCATAGTTTGCGTCAGCGTTTCGAGCCTACGGCAGCATTTTGAGCGTTTCTACGACGGCGATTTTCACGACAGACCGCGAGCAGGTCACAACTACCCGCGAAGCACTCAAAACGCTACCGTACGCTCAAAAAAGTGACGCAACATATGAACGCAGCCTAAATGAATTGAGTAACATACCTATCAATTTTATCTTCCATTTCTGATATACACATGGGATTCTTTATAACATCGTAATAATCCTCGACATCTTCTACATCAACCGGCTTGACGAAAATTGTGAAGCGGCGATCACGCCGAAGAGCGCCTATAAAGACGCTTTGTAAGCACAGAAAGCGGTAAAGTCAAAAAAAGACATAAGCGTTGAATCATAAGGAAAACGAAAACGATCCACAAGACAGTAAAAATCCTCTTACTTAGTTTATCTCGTGCCCAGATACGGAACCGGCGAAGCTGACTCTCATACTCCTTTACAAGTTCCCTTGCCTCTTTTTCGTTCAACTTTCGAGCTATTGTGACGTCCTCTGGATCAGCCTTCTCAGGTTCTTTGTATAACGAAGCTGGAAATTACAAAAATACCGAAATCAGATGAGTCAAACGACCGATAGTCAATGGAAACAAAACGCTTACGGTCGAAAACCTTCGGAGGAATCCGGGCATTGGCAATGATATGCTCAAAATAGTGTCGTCGATAGAGTTCCTTAGGGGGTGTAAGGCTGAAAATGCATATTGACGATACGATAATAAGAAAAAACTCTCAAAGAAAACAGTATTTTAAATGCTATCTTACCTGACACACTGGGATGGACCGAAAATATCTTTGACTTCGTCGCAGCACGAATCGTAAGCACAGTCACATGAAGCTAGGAAAAGGATGGACGTGAACCCATGCATGGAGTCTAGAGCGGTCGCGAGCTATAACAGCACTCTTGTAAGAGAGTAAAGGATAATGGTTGGAAGATGAAGCCTTTGCCCTTGATCAATCTTTTTTGTGGTGCAGTGCGCATTCTCCACCGAGGGTAGGTTCCCGGTTGGCCTGGCTAGAAGCCGATCCGGAATTTGACCCCCAAACCGCGGGCGTGGTAAGCGGGTCACTCGCCAGTACTCCACCTCCGCCTCACCGCTCGAATAATGAACCACCGATGACGGGTGAGAAACAAGGATGCTCCGGGAAATTAACAACGAATGGATTCCTCACGCTCAGGTAATAAAGTATGGTCTTGCGAACAGTGGGACGGTAACTCAAAGTTACTTCTATTTACAGCCATGAACGATTCAGCCGTCGTATATTATTCCCTAGTTATTTTCTTTCTGTTAATGCAATGTGAACCCTCGCCAAACGGTCATGTACTCCCAACCCCCCCCCCCACCCCCCGCCAGATCTATTCCACGCTTACTGCTCATCCATTGAAGAAGTCATGAGAACCAATTAATCCAAAAACACACCATATGTGTGACACTTGGCGGAACCACTGTAAACCATTGGTCAATGCTTGGCAGGAGCAGAACACACGGTCCATTGGCTGCTGAACGAAGTGCTGACTGAATCGTTTGCGCCAACGTTTCCTAAAATGCACGCACCCTTGACTCAGTTACACTGATCGAATAACAAACTGAATCTGTTTGGAGAGTACCTCTGGTTTTCCATCTGCGAACAATCTCGCTACCGCTATAGAAAAAACGGGTAGATGATCGAGCTTGCCAAGTACTGCAGGCAGGACATAGGATGTTTGACCAAGATCAGGATGTGATGGACTGCCGCATATCAACAGACGCACTATAATCACTTCATTACATGAAGAGTAATTTTGTGTAACGGTGTGTCGAACATCATGTTCGTTTGTCCCTTCGCAATGATAATAATGCGTTTATACTTCGCGATTCAGTAGCGTGTGCGATTTGGTCGCTATAATCGCGCGACTATAACCAGCAGCGCTCCACCTCTTGTTAATGTACCGCTACGACGGATCATTCAATCACCATCATCAGCGACGGGGCGCTCTCGAAGAGCGGCGATCAGAGCAACCAAATCGTCTGAGCGTCGGTCAAATTGCATAAACACACTCCAAGGGAAATTAGAGGGAAAAAATAGCTGTAAGAAAAACTGAAAAATAGGTGGTGTGGTACCTTTGATCTAACAGGATGGTACGATTGCGGTACCATCTCTGGCCCGGGAACCCCCGGGACGAAATCGCCAATAAAGGGGAAAAAGGACCGAGAAATATCATCAAGGGATTCATCCCACCTGCTGGAACACACGGTGGTTGTTCGAGTGCTCGCACCACTTTCTCCAATTCAGATGCTGAGCTGTTTTGGACGGACTGTGAGCTCTTGTATCCTGACGGTATACGTATGTTCAACAAAGATGTCACAGTGCTCAGCAACAGTATTGACGTGCGATCATCCAGTTGTCGAGAGGGGATCGAAAGATCTAAATAAAGCATACCTAGTGACTGAGACTTATGAAAAACGAGTCAAAAAATATTTTTGGGGAGGAATAATAGTTTCTCTTGGACTTTGCACAAAATTCATCTGTTAATCCTTAAAAATGGTAGAAACCCACCTCTTCTCGATGCAGGAGTAATCCGACGCATAGCAGTCGTAAAGCAATTCCTGTCAACGACAAGCAAAGAAGGATCTAGTTTGAGCCGTTCTCCAGACATGTAGATATGCGGGAACCGAGATCGCAAGGCTACCAATACAGCTTCAGTACAAAGATACTGAATTCTCAAATGTGTTTCAACAGAAAATAGGCAGAAACTGTAGACGGTTACCTGTAGATCAGCTCCACAATAACCGCTTGTCCCGTCCGCAAGCCATGTCAGTGTGCTCTCATCGGGTTGACAATCTCCCCATTTTGACGTATGAATGGTCAGTATTTGTTTTCTAAAAGGATAAAATATCGGCCTAACACAATAATAACCTGTTTCTCTGGCGTAACTGTGGGGAAGAGGGTGCCACATCTGTACCTCTTGATGGCCCACACCACCTCACACAGGGTGTTGACAAAGTTGTCTGGTATTCACCTGTATACCGTTTACAGGATTTGGTAGAAGCACTTACAAGTTTTCACCCCCTTCCCAAGGTAACGAGCGCTTGCTCTCGTTCTCCCTTGCGTTACTCCCGATGTGTCGCTGGGCTCGCTTTTCTTGCTGGACGTCACCACTCTCTTCATTTGGTTAGAAATGGGCTTTTCGTCGGCCGCCATGTCAACTTTGACCTGGTGCTGCAAGGTCCTTGCAAGTGTTGAAAAACATGATTTCTACTTAGATAAGATGCCCAATAGAGTGCAGAAACTTGTCCACACGTATATCTCCACCTTCTGGCCCAAACACCACACTTTTTCAGTCAGTCGGTCAGCTTTTCTCCAGATTAAGATTTTGTCAAGGTTGTGGCGTGTTTACTGAGCACATACAGTCTTGCTCGCTGCGGATGATGGGGCGATCTAGAGAAGCTGGACTTGGCGCGGCACCAAAAACTTTCTCCACCAATTTGTGAAGGAAGCAAGCAGAAAGATGGCATCATATTGCTTGTACCAGAGTTTTCATGAACTGGTGTCGTTTGTCCGCCTCAACAACGCCAATCCCACTCTGAATGACACGCCCCATTATCCGCTGCGAACAAAGCTGTCAATAAAATAATGTGTAAATAGGCAAGTACTAGTAGCAAAGAAAACTTCTGATCGACTCTCTTACCTTGCATTTGCGTCGGGAAGAGAAAACTTCAGTTCCCTATCAAATCGTCCTGGACGTCGCAGAGCTGGATCTAACGTGTCCAGACGATTGGTGGCGCCAATGACGACGACCTAGAAACCCCCTTTGAAGATAATCAGCTGACGAGAGACTCCTCATAAACTTAAGTT